CATCAAACATGTACATTTTGTATTTAATATGAAACAAGCATCTGTTTCTGCCTGTTTTTTATTTATTTGTAAAGGTGGCTGTTCATAGTTACTTGTATAATTAGGAAGTGAAAGCTTCTGTTCTATAAAATTAGCATATGTTTCAGGAATTGTTTTATATTTATATTCGTAATCATATTCTTACGCTCGTTATCTTTTAATCACACGCGCACACATACACACATATTTATACAGTGTAAATTTAAAATAACCTTAGCATAGACAGAGTTTACTGGATTAGATGTTAATGTTATAACAAGAGACATAAACAGTCTTGAAGTAGAGAATGATACAACAGACGTATTGCCTCTGACAGTGAGAAACATATTTATATTAAATATTGGTTTATATATCTGATGGAAGTAATATCTCTAACTTTAAAGTGAAGGTTCACACAGTAACTCTTGTTGAGTTGTTGATAACACTAACACTGACTGGGGTTGGTGTAGCAGAATGCTTGTTTCATATTAAATACAAAATGTACATGTTCGATGATGAGGAACCCACTTTGAGACTAATAATGGTTGGATACAGCTTGAATGGGTAATGAAGAAAAACTTTAATATAATTTTAACATAACAGCTAATGTACAACGTTTCTACAAGGTTTTGTATCTGATGATGATGACGAAACCTTGTCTAAACGTTGTACATTTGCTGTTATGTTAAACTTAAAGTTTTCTTCATTACCCATTTAAGCCGTCTCCAACCACTATTAGTCTCAAAGTGGATTTCTCGTCATCGAACCAGGTAACATGTTTGTGTACTAGGGAAGAAGACCAGAACTGCCCTAATTCCCGACATCCATCAAAGTACCTTAAAAGTTTTTCTTATGGTCAGAATGAATATTTTTTTAGCTTAAGTAGTGTAAAATATAATCTTCAGATAAAAGCAATGTTTTTTTTATTTGCAGAAATACATTCAGTAAAAAAAAGAGCAATTATTAAATACTACATCAGACCTAAATGGTAGAATTCAATACATTTCTGAGGACATTGTTGACACCAGTAAATAATCTACTGCATTTTCTTCTAAACAAACATTCCAGAATTTCAGGTCTGCTCAGATATCACACAGAGAATTTAGTGTTCAGACTTAGTTTCAACATGTAAGGCTACTCCTGAGAAAATAAGTTTTAGGGTAATTAAAAGATATGCCCCTCAGTGGCACAGCGATATGTCTGCAGACTTGTACTGCTAGAAACCGGATTTTGATACCCATAGTTTGTAGACTGCAGATAGCCCTTTATATAGCTTTGTGCTTAACTACAAACAACAACAACAATTAAAAGGTGCCAGATAGTTTTTGAAAATTAAATGAGACAAAACAGACTACAAATCCACAAGTATCCTTGTCAACTTAGAGTGATCTATGCTCTGTCTTTTCCCTGCTGTTGGAGAAGATGTCTAAATTACAGTGTATTAACATGGCACTATCACCTCCCCCCTCCCCCCCCAAAAAAAAGAGCTCAAAAACAACAAAAACCCAGACTTGAATAAAAGATCATTTGGATGATACATATATATGCAAGTTTTTTTTTCTAAAAACAAAAGGCCAATAACTGTATTAAGTAATATCACACTTAAAAGTTTGCTGGTTGCATGGAGTGGTGTTTATTTAATTATGCCTGGTAATGTAACTTGACTTTTGTACTTTTAAGTTTAATTTATAAAATATGTTGTTTTAATGTGTTTTCACTTATTTACTTCATCTGAGAACACATTTGGTTTTAAATGTTTAACCCATTGTGTATTTAGTGTCAAAATGTATTTGCATTTTTTATTGTTTCTTTTGTTGGATGTGTGAATATATGTTTGCTTTTTGTTTTGGTTTTTACTGTAATCGTTTTGTTCCGTTACTTTGAATTAAATGTATATTTCTACAGGGATATGTAAGCCAAATTTTTATTTACATATCTTTATTGTTTTTTTTTCACTTTTGTTAAAACCTGCCTGCATTTTCTGTTAGAAGTTTTATATATTCTAAAAACACTACTTTTTTTCAGGATTTCATGTGTGACAAAACATAATTTGTAAGCATGTCACTTATAAATAGCTTAATATGACATTCATATAAAGAATGAACAACTAAAAGTTGTTTAATGTAGAATGCTGTTAAATAGGCTCTTTGATTAAAACTTCTAACTCATTATTCCAACATTTATTGTAATAGTTAATTGTCAGTGTTAGATTATTCTCTGTTAAAAATCAAAATGCACTCTGTTGTAAATGCTCTTTCTGACAAGTTACCTTACTTCCACTCGCATAGATATCTATTCTCATTTGGTGCTGCCCTCTATTTGTAAATTTTTTGTGCATGCCACAAGCCTTTCATTCCCATGTATCCCTCGGTTCCCATGGTTTAACTGATTCATGCATTCATATTGTCATGCGACAAACCTTCACCAATAGATGTGCTCCACACATAACTCCTATGACTCCTTTTACACTATTCTACCTAACTGTCACTTCTCATTTGGCAGTGCTTCACCAATAGATGTGCTCCACACACCACTTCTGTGACTCTTTTACGCTATTCTACCTAACTATCACTTCTCATTTGGCAGTGCTCATGTTCGGACGCTTTATTTAGTGCTCTCTTTGAATTTTCATATCTTTTTTATTCCAGTTTCCTACTTATTTTAAACAGTTGTTATTTGTACCTCATTTCATCGTGGTATTATTTAATTTTCTACCCAGTTACAGAACTTAATCATTTTTTTCATGCTTTTCCTTCTTTACCAACACAGTTGTGTTTGGTTTTCATTTGCATTATGAATTCTGAAGTGTCAATTACCATGTCAGAGGTTGTGCCTTTTACCAGCACATTTACTCAGGCTTCAGGTGTGGGGAACTCGACCTTGGAATTATTGGCAATTATTCTTCAAGAGATTGATTGTTATTTAAGCCAACCTTCTTCACCTAATGTTAACCAACTTCCTCCTGAACAAGCCAAACCTGTTGAGGATCACAAAACATTTGACAGCCTTTTTCCTCTGCCTGAAAATGAAGTGTCTTCCCAAGTTCCTACTGTGTGTTCTGTTAGGCCTAATATGGCTTTTTGCACATGATTTCCCAGGTATGTTCTGTCTTAACCCTTTCCCCAAATTCCTATAATCCTCTACCTTCCTTGTTACATGATACTTCTTCATCTCGCTATTTTGTGTTTCCACAGTCTTCTAATATTGGGGCTCTTTTGAGCATTTTGTATCTCAGTTATGTGATGGTGCAGGTACGCCTTGCCTCCACGGTCTTTGGATCAGTTTGCTTTAGTCTACCATCAGACCGATTTCCTGTTCTCAGCAACTGGAATGTATTTTACCTATTTGAGGGGCAGACCCTTATTGTTCTGTTCTTTTGTTTCAAGCACAATTTTCTTCTCTTCTCCTTATGCCCACATTACATCCTTGTTGGCATGTTTGTCAACTTTGGCTCTTTCTTTACA